TAAGACCTTTCTTGGCAAGAACAGCTTGCTTCCTAGCATCGCTCCTAGCTGCTGCCTCGTCTGCAATCTGTTGGGCGGCGGCAGTAAGGTTGGCCGCCCCGTCGCGGCGTGAACGTTCGGCTTGGTTTGCTCGGTTTATTCTGTTTTCCGGGTATGCCCAATGTGTAGTGCTGCCCCATTTGGCTTCGTCGCTGAATTCGGCCTCAAGGTGTGGCCACACGTCATTGATACGACCGAGCTGCTTTGAGAGCGCGTCGTTCGCGGTCGCTATGACATGATTCTTCTCTTCCAAAGACACAAGCATCTCTTGTATTTTGTAGGCAGTCTGTCGAAACAGGTGACGGCGCGGGATGTTGCTCGGATCGAACACGGTCGCGTGGTAGTTCTCGTCAGTAGAAGAGCCAGGAGGATGGCCGCCGTTAGCAGCGACGCCGCTAGTGCTGTTGTGGGCGCTCGTGGGCGTCGAAACAGGCGCAACGCTGCTCGAGGTCTCATTGGTATGTTTAGGCTCGGGAGGGTTGGAGCTGAGGGCGGCGTCAACCAGTTGGGTGAGGGCCTCTTCCGGCGCGAAAATCTTAGCGTCGACCTCTTTCAGGAGGGTGAAGTGTCGGACAAGGTCTTTCGGGAGGGCTGTAATAGCGTCGGTGAAATGCGTAATGGCAGGAAATATGTCGATAGGTTGTTCCGGGGCGTGGCCGCCGCCGAGCGACTCTCTGCCGCTTGAAGTGCGACTCAAACCAGAGGTTGTCCTGGGCGGGTTGACACGAGTCTGACGAACCGGCTGGGCTCGGCGACTGGACGCGGACGGCCCAGGGTCGGGTTGAGGGGGTTTGGCAGTTTTCATAATGGAGATTGTAGAGGAGTGGTAGGTGATCTTTGTCTGACAGAGTAGAAGGGGTAGAGGTCTTGGATCGTGCTGTGTTTATGGACGATGGTGGTGCTGGTGGTCGACAACGCTGCTCTAGGAATGGGAAGAGTCTTCCCAGCGGAACTCAAAGGTTGTAGGTTGTGGGCAAGAAGCTGTAAAGGTCGTTGAAGCTACACTTGTCTTAAGTCATGGTGCGATGGCGAAGGGAATGGGTATTGACAGTAGTAACGTAACATAAACAATGAAGGCAGATAATCAGGTCTATCGAGGGGTCGAAGCGCAACAATTCCGAGAGAACTACATTTGGGATTATGTGTGGGAGATGCAGGTGCAAGCAAGAAGCAGGTGGTGCATAGTCCGATACCTGGTAGGTACGGTAGTAGTATATGGACCTACTTAAGGTGGCAGGGTATGTACATACATACTTACCCAGCAGTTAGTTAGTAAAGGTCACTGATAACCACTGGAAGCTTGATAAGGATCCAATGAAACGCCTGCTGATGCTGCTGCAGCACAACCCAAGTCCCCCAAGCCCCCAAGCCGGCATCAGTCGGTAGATTCTGCCTTCTTTCTCCGGACCTGTCAGCGGCTTCAAAGCCAAGGTTCAGACGGGATCCTGTCCCAAAAGGGTAAGAAGAGGGAGCGATCTGAGAATGGCAGACCAGAGGATCGTAGAGATTTGATAAGATAAGGACCTTCTTTCTACCTATTGACTCTGACCATATAGTTGTACCCCGTCTTCAATCAGTTGCGTCACAAGCATGGGCATTGTGTTACATTTGCTTCGTGTACTTATAAGAGATAGGCGGCACATCAGCGTCATACGCAAGACATATAACTAGGGGAATCAGACTCTTCGTCATCGCACAACACACGCGCGGACTACGGGAGCTCGACAAACAATGCCATCGTCGTCCTCCCTCTTCCCACCCATGCACCCACGTTACGTATAGCCGCCTATAGTTGCACAAGGCGTCGGGTCTATCCCTTGACGAACCAAGTCTTATCAGCCTCGAGCTTGTTGCTTTATAGACTCGGTGGTTTGTGATATATTACATGATACAATGTCAGCTAACTCGGTAGATGCTGCCTACAGACGCCATGGTTTACTGGCTGCTTTATATGTACCTAGCTTAGAAAACTATAAATATTTATACTCAGTGTTCATATCCAGGAATCGTTTTTTTCCACATTCCACATCGTCTTTCTTCTCGCTAGCCGAAACGCATTTACTTACGTCAATCCATACACGAGCAAGTTCGATAGATACCTGTTACCTACGTAGGTATACATCATACTACATGCATCTCCGAAACAAAGAACCAAAGTTACATGACACGATGCATCTGGAAGGCACTGCAAGGTGTCAGACTAGGGATAGGTCAACAATTTGCGTATTGCATAAATCAAACAGTCCATCGCTATGATATGGACGGCTTCTTAATCATCTAAGTGCTATACCGAAACGCCGTTGGATCCCTTTACCCCCCTTCCAAAAACGAAAAGGGGGTGTCATGTCTATCTTCGAGTGCCCAGTCAGGTAGGTAGTCGCAGAACACACTCTTAAGTTATTATTAGTCTACGCGGTCTTTGAGCACCCTGCGCGAGTTCCCCTCCCGCTCCACCATCTTCTTCTGCCGCCACTGCCACTCCACGAGGACGGGGACGAACTGCCACAGGTCGAACTCGGGCCAGAAGCAGTCCAGGAAGAAGATGTGCGTGTCCTCGTGGCACTGCCACAGCATGAAGTCGCTCAGCCGCGTCACCCCGCTCGTGCGGATGAAGATGTCCAGCGGCGGGTCCTCCCGCGTGTACGTGTGGCCGTCGAGCGTCTCGGCCGTGATCGTCTCCGGGTTCGGGTACTGGGGCGCGGGGTGATCGCGGTGATGGTGGTGGCCCGGGGTCGCGGACGGCGGCAGGGGCGGGGAGTCCGGGTCTAGCGCCGTGGTCGAGGAGACCGACGACTCGCCCGCGTCTGACTTGACGGTGGGATCGGGCGACGTCTCGCGGGGTGGCGATGTCGAGGTCGAGTTCGAGCGGCCTTGCTTGAGCTGCTTGGATCGTATCTTCTGCGAAATCCTACTCTGTGAGAACGGCCCGTTCGTCGACCGAGACGGTGTGGTGTACTCTTCCACCGTCGCCCTGATCGCGCTGGTCATTTCCGCTCTCGACGTGTACGGGAAGCAGATGTTGAGCACGGCGCTGAAATCTCTCGTTAATACCAGCTAGACCAGATATTACCCTTCCAGAGAATGCTCACTCGGTATTATGTTTCGTCATTTCGACAGCCCGGTCCACGTGTGGTAGGACATCATCCGGAATCAGATCTCGCTCTCCTAATATTCGAAGCTTGGCGCCATATCGATCGAGTAGCTCGCCGTGCTGGACTAGCTGTTCCAGCTTGACCTTAGCCATTGCCATCAGTCCTTTGACTTCGTGTTTCGGTCGGTTGAAGTTCTCGATGCTGAAGGCGTAGACGGTAACGACTTTGACCCCGGACTTGTAGCAGATCTCTAGCACCTAACGATGATATGCATTAGCCATACACTCCTGTATAAGTCGCGGCCGGTTTGTGTTGGGTAAAGTACCCTTGCGAGCGCCTCGAAGCCGAGATGATGGCCCTCTATGGTTTCGATCTTGTGATTCTTGGCAAAACGCCTATTCCCGTCCATCTCGAAGGCGACATGTTGAGGTATCGGGCCTTGTCGCAGGGTGCCAATCAATAGCTCCCGGGCGTTCTTGATCAACCACTCTGCCGGTGGCGACCTGAGGAACCAATTCCTAATATGCGAAAGGTACAGATCGGACATTTTATGTGATGCGTGTTCGAAAATAGACAGAAGTTAGGTTGCAACTGTTGCAACTATTGCAAGAACGAGTCGCCGCAGCGCAATTACAACAAGAACGGTAAGAAAAGATGAGACAAATTGGAAAGGGGCAGAATTGTAGGTATGCAGTTGCAAAAAGAATGACGAGTATTTGTTTGGAAAACAACGACTAGATTTCATACATCATGGCAACTGGGAAGCTGACGACGATGGGCAACCATTGACGAAGATAGCAAGGCGAAGCCACAAAAGTACAGCTGAACGATGACAGACTGATCGGCATGGTGGCCAATCATATGCGAGTTAGGCGCTAAGCCCAAATTATAACTAGTGTCATCCCGTTCTGCCCGTCTCCCGTTCGTACATGCTTCGTACATGCATTTATATACCGAGGTACACCTGTGGATCCTGAGATAAGCTATAATAGGTCCGATAAGGTAAAGTGAATTCCGAAGGAATTCACTCCATTGTAATTAGATACAGGTCAGGAAACCTTCTGTTTCCTTTCCTTCCTTTCCTTCCAATAAGGAACAATTGCAACAGAAACCCTAAGGACTTAATACATCAGCTGGATCAGTGACTATTAGGTAATTGGGGCCCGTTGCAATAAGCACACACCATATGCCATACACCCGGACACGTTGTGATGCGTAGGTAGCAGGCAGCACATAGGGAGACATCAAGGCGGAACTTTATACTGTATGTAAATTGTCGTGGTGTACCTTATGATACAGTATACATCCATAAACATTATACCACGCTGTGAGAATGTGTTGGTACATCGGATGAAACAAAGTGTAGCTGTCAGCCACAACAGCCACAACAGCTATAGGAGCTATAGGTAGGAGCTACAGGGGCTATAGTAGGTAGCAAATAGCATAAATACAGCAGCTACTGGGCACTTACGAACCTAGATACGTACTACATAGAGCCCTGACGAGTAGGTGCCATAAAATCGTCGTTTTCAAGCAGAACCGTTTCCTTATTCACAGTAGCTTCTGAAAACACCAACAATCTCCCCTGAGCTAAAAGTATGTGCTGCAGATGTGTATATCCAATCAGAATGACCTGCAGGCTATAAGATACCTGCATACCTGCATATCATCAAAAACTCAACTTTGGCATGGTTTCAGACCATCCGGGGGATTCCGGCACCATACGAAGTATCACAGTTACGGAGGTACCTACCTATACCTACCCATTGGATCATCACCCACTCTATCGGCCCGCGGCTTGCCCTAGCCCCACAAAAGCTATCAGTAACTGCACTTGAGCCATATGTGAAGATAAGAAACCGAAAATAAGTCCGAGTGGTGCAGTGGTTAGCATGTCGCTCTTATATTTCCTTGCTGATGTCTGGAACACCACGTCCAGACGTCGTTAGCGAGGTCATCATGCCATGCGGAGATCGCGAGTTCAATCCTCGCCTTGGACAACAGACCTGACCCTAACCAGGCCAGTAACCTTTTTATCTTTTTTTTTATTTTTGACTTGGAGTTTCGGAACTTTCCAGATATCGCCATCGCCTATCTACTACTACTACCTAGTGATCAGTATTACCCTGGACATCCTTCGCAGCCCCTTGCTTATCACCCGAAGCCGTGGTTTCCTCACTGGGACCGTGGCCATTCGGGCTTACCGGTAGATTACTGGCGGCAACATCATCGTGAACACCTTCGGATTCTGCAGTTGGCGCTGCCGGAGTGCTATCAGTATCGGGCTGCGTGGCTATAGTTGTTGGCACGGCTCCAGCAGCAGCCGATGCACCACCGGGCTGTAAGGCTGCTCCGTCAGCAGCAGACCGGGTGTTGTAGCTCTTTCCATCCTTGCGCTTCTTTCGTCTTCGGGTTGTCGAATCAGCATCAGCCGGTCGTTTCATGTTGGCATTGATGTCTGCCTGAGGTGCTAGCGCTCCTCCAGTCCCGGCAGCTGCGCTTGGAGATATATGTCCAGTTATGGCTGAAATAGCCAGAGTGGCAGTTATGAATCGCTTGCCATTGTGAGTTTGCTGGTACAGACACTGGGCGACGCGGGCATATCGAAAGGAGCAGAGCAGCTCGAGATAGATCGGTTACATAATAGTGACACGGGCCACTCTTTGATATACTATGTAACAATGCCATGTCTCATATAGTAGGTAGAGGTTATCGTGAGGATAGCTGAAGGTGTTGCGGACGTTGCCAGGGACTCAAACGACGCTGAGGCTGCTACCGGGGTTGGCAGAGGCCTAAACACTGTTATGAATGTAGCCCTTCCTTATATTCTACCTCGACACGTCTCCACAACGTAGACCACGTCGATAGGTAATCATCTGACACGGATATCAACATGTGAACAATCGCAAAAGTACGGAATTGGATGATGATGGGAGATGCAGAATAGTGCATACGGGACACTACCTATAAGAATGTTCTAGGTCAGGGGCTCCATGAGCTAGCCTCTAGGAACCGCTCCACCTGGGCAATACAACTTCTATCCGAAACTCTATACTGCTCTATCCTGTATATAAACCGCCCTTCCTGCTCTAGCTTAGGAAGCTCGTATCTAGTCAGAGCTATCTGCTGAAGTTGCTAGAGGTACAGAGGCTGACTCCGACTGAGCTAACGGACTACGCTGCCACCTTCCTTCTCCTGACCCTGATCTTAGCTTCCAGCGGCGGGATGCCAAAGCCGGCAAACCAGCTCAGCGGGGGCCGCTTGCCGCCGTAGCTCTCGGGGAACTCCATGTCGTAGTTCATGACGGCGTAGGACAGGATCATCTTCATCTCGAAGTCGACCAGGAACCGGCCGGGACACGCGTGCCGGCCGTGGCTGAAGGGGAGGTAGTCGGCCGACGTGGAGGCGAAGCTGAGGTTGTTGAGGCCCGGCCGGCCCGTGGCCGGGTCGGCCGCCGCCTCGCGCTGCCGCGAGAACCGGAACGGGTCGTACTTGAGCGGGTCTACGAACGCCTCCGCGTCCGTCTGCGACGGGTGCGCCAGGATGGACACCATGGTCCCCTGCGGCAGCCGGATCCCGTCCTCCGTCACCAGGCCCTCCTTGGCGACGACTAGGCGCTGCACGGTGCGGCCGATGAACGAGTTCACGCGCATGGTCTCGCGGTTCGCGCTGTCGGTCCGTGTCATGGACGCGACCTTGGCTCTGGTCCAGTGCTTGGAGGTCGTGTCACTGTCGCCGTCGCCGAGCACCGTTCTTACTTCGTCACGGAGGACGGAGATGGTGTTGAACTCCGGGTCCGAGTCTAGTACGTTGAGGAAGATGTTGTGCAGTGAGATGATAGTCTGGTGCATTGTGCCAAAGTTCGAGACTGCCAGACGCTTTGTCATATCGGCAAGATTGTGTGCCTCTTTGGGTCGCTCCTTGACAGCGTATTCCAGCATCATCTGTATGAGATCCTGAGGCATCGGGGAATTCTTCTCTGCACCGGGCTGCTCGATGATATTAAGTCTCTCTCTCCACAGAGGCTCGAATCCCTTCTCGAGGTTTCGCAATTTCGCGTTCATTGCCCTGCCTGCCCAGGGGCCGAGAAAGGGTCTCAAGCCTTTCCGATGCGATGCCATAGCACCAGCCAAGTCAAGCATACCATCTAGGACATCGTAAGAGGCAGCAAGAAATCCCTCATCCGCGCCTAACTCGCACATTGGTTAATCTTCGTTCATCCGTGTGAAAACGCAGCTGGGTTCTCGACTTACAGAGGCGTCGTCCTTCAGGAGAGTCACCGAGCGTGAAGCGTAGTGTGGCTCGACCCCCAATGGTGCGGCATGCCGAAAAGAGATCAATTTCCTTCCATTCCTCCGTGTCTGTTCCAAAGACCGAGTCGAAAGCAAAGCGCAGTTCGTCGTTCATGACGGCACATACTGTCTCCAGTGCACTGTTCAGGTCCGACTTGACCATCATACCCCCCCATGGGTCATACGCGAACTTGTGGCCGAGACTATGGTGGAGTTGTATGCCATCAATTTGCGCTTCCATCGAGCTGACCACATGGTCTGGCTGCTTGCAGAGCCACTGCAATGATTTGGGCGGTAATATGACTTCATCATGAGGCCCAAACACGGGCATGAGAACGGAGAGGCCCTTCTTAGAATACTATTGTATGAATGTTTAACAGGCAGCTCGCCATGAAAAAAGAGATGTTAATATAACCTACATTCTGGTATGCATCGTCAAAGACAGCTAGACAGTCCGTATGGTATTTCTTTCTCATATCATTCCATGAGATGCCTTCCCGGCTTCCGAGGCGCGGGAGATTCCGGGGGTAGTGTACTGGGACGTACACCTTGTACAATTTGAAAAGAAGGTACGTAGAGATGATGACAGCCAGCGTAGTCACTTGGATGAGTCCGTGACCCATTACTGCGCCGTAGATTTCATCCATGGCGGATAGACTCGGTTGTCACGTTGTTGACCGTACCCGTTCGAGATTTGACATGAGTGATCTTCGGGCAGCGGCATTTTCGAGGGCGACATATATAAAAACTTTTCCTTACTCCCAAATTACTGGAAATTCTGCATCACTCATTGGCGGTATCGGAGAGCGGGGAGAAGAGTTCGAATCACGGATATTCCACACAGCCGTCATCTCGATGTACGTAATCTGATGATCTGATAAGATCAAATTTCATCGTCAGGGGGGTCTCTATGGCGGGCCGTTGTGAGACTAGTGGTCGTGGTGCCGCACCATGACTATAGCTTCGTGACCCCCTGCTGAAAAGCTGAACACTATCCCGGGGTGGGGGCGGGTTTGACAACCATCTCGGCATTTGCTCTGCTACTGGTGAGTATGTCCGCGCGACGATCTTCATATGCTGGGCTGCGCTTATACCTAACCATCTAGCTTCTCTTCTTTTGTCAGCCGGCTTTGAAATAATACCGCAATAAGTAGCACGCCATATGACGGCACTTAATAAGTGGCATTTTTCCTCCCCAGTTTTGGCGGGACCAGACCGAAGGGCCGAGGAGGCAGCACATTATATGACCGATGGAAAAGTCGAAGGAAAAGTCTGACGCCTTCCCGGATTAGGTGGAGTTGCTATAGACAATTTGAGTACTTTCTAAGCCCCCAGTTGAAGAATTATCAAGGTGCATGGTGTTCGACCAACAGGAGTGAACAAACAGGATCAAACTATTTATTAGCCCGAATGGGCTGCCACATCTCAGACATGTATGGTCTGCTAACTAGGCCTTTTGACACCGCCGTTTTTCGTGAAGAACATAGATTGAGCATGGTTATTAAGACACATTGTAGCGTGTAATATTCGTGCCCGGAGGCCTTCATCTAGATATCGGCATTCAAGATAAATCTTGATGCGATGAGCTGCAAAGTCATGTCACTCTCCATGGTATCATACCCTGGCAGGCTTTTATAATAGGCCTCTGTCCTAAGATTTGCTGCCAGTAAAGGTATCAGTTCTTCCAACCGTGGTCGGTTCTGTGGATCGACAGCTAGGCATCGTTGGACTAGGAGGCATAGATCGGGGTCGAGACTCGGATGTATAGTAGGGTCTTGAATATACCCCCGGCACGCTGGGACGAAAGCAAACTCGACACCTGCTATAAGTCGGGCCATGACCTGCACCAATATCAGTAATTGTTTCGGTTCAGTCATATTGGGTCCTAAGGACTTACGCATCCGACATCAAGGAGATTCTTATCAATGGCCACGTTCCGTCTTCCAGAAGCAGCTCGACTAGGACACTAGGTTAGCAGCACATCGTCACCGTATTTGAGAACATGCTTACCTTTTATCCAATCCAAGAGGGTTGTCGAATCTATTCATCGAGAATTTATCTACGGGATACGTGTGATTCGGAGCTGTCATCCTCTGTGCCTCACCAAAGTCGATGAGCTTTAATATTGGTATTCGCGAATGTTCTGCTTCCTGTGGATTGAGGTCTCCGAACATCACTATGAATATCAGCAATGCCGCCACTCACCCAAAGCCATGTGGGATGATGGGTTCCTAAACATACTATTATCCCCATGCATATCGCTATGAGTGATCATGGAAGGTTCTTTCCCGAGAGGTACCTCTAACTCAACATTGGGCCCAAGCGGTGGCCAAGCCATTCCGACACAGGCTCGGATCACTGCAATTTTATCAGTCCTACCTCTACTACCAATATCACAGTACTGCTTACAGCATATAAAAATTGACCAGAGCAACCTATTGGGGAGTGGAAGCCTGCCCCCATTGGGGAGTTGCCTCTGCATATCTGCGACCCTTTTCTGGAACTCTCGCAGAGTCCCATTTTCCAAGGATTCCATAATCAGATAAGGATGTGCCCAGCCCCCAAATGGTGTCAACTTCATTGGATCATCGACCAACGTGATTAAGTTGACGATATGCCTAGCATATTGGAAGAGCTACAGGAGGACTGTTAGCAGAGTGCCAATAATAACGAGGAATCAAAACAGTAAAATATCTTCTCATAAACGA